TCTCGGACGAGGCTGTCTGGCTGCCCCTGCACTTTGGATTTCAGAGGGTGGCTTCCAGACCCGGACCCTATCTACCAGCGGCACCCCTGGAGAGTCTCTGCAGCAGAGGGTGGGGGCCCCATCCAAGGGCGGTCCCGTGGGTCGCTATCCTTGTGGGAAAGCTTCCTCCAGCCCAGACCTCACAGAGGTCTCCCAACCCCTAATAAGAACCACCACCTGTTGCGTCCTGCTGAACCCCTGATTGAGGAAGTCTGCCACCTGCCCAACACAATTGAGTCCAGTTTTTAAAATAATCCCCGTAGGACTTACACTCACTTTTTCTCTTGGGAGTCTTCCGCCTTGCAAAAACCCACTGACATTTAAATTTTTATGGTGGAAGGGGAGAACATTCTGCTCTTTAGACCTAATGCTCTCTACCAAACCACCCGGAGGGAGCCCAGTACCGGGAGGTGGGGAGAGGGAAGCCAAGAAGGAAATGGAGGGGCAGGGGGCATCCTGTCCACATGACAGGGGTTCCCGGCCAGCAGCTCTGTTCCAAAGCGGAAAAATGACACGGCTAGACATTCGAGGAGCCGTTTGGGACTGACCGCTAGGGGTTAGCATCACTTGATCCTGCTTCCGACAACCACCTGATTTAAATTTGACCAAATGATTCCAAGAGCCCCCACATGCACAGCTCGGGCGGTCACGCGGGGTGGAGTGCAGGTGTCTCCGAGCCTGGCTCCCTCCGTCAGCCCCCAGGACGGTCTTAACTCCCTCAAAACTAGCCTGTCCCCTGCTCAGTCCCACCCCGCTGCGCTAGCAGCGGAGAAGCGGGTCCCTGGGCAGCCCCCCATTCCCTGGGTCGGGGGCGGGGTGGGGGGGGGTACGTTGGGCGGGGCACTTCCCCAGATGCCGGGCCCCTCCCTCCTTGCCCCTCCTTCCTACCCGGCTGCTCGGCTACTCAGGACGCCCCCTAGCGGGGACCCTCCACCCTAACCTCCCTGAATTCTGCAGGATAGTGCAGACCCCCCTGGTCTGCGCACTCCCACTGTGGATTTGTCTGGTTTTCACTCCCCAGCAATGTGAAAACCAATAAAATTACTAAAGTAGTGGGGAGGCCAGAAGGGGGAGGCTGTACCATTTCTCCTCAATCATAGGAAGAATTGTCAGTAACAGACCCCGACCGGAGACAATCATCAATTGTAGCCGCCCCCCCCCCCCC